AGGTGTGATGTATGGCGTAAGGCGTGGTGGGGCGCGGCGTGGCCCTTGGTTAGGATTGGTAAGTACAGCAGGCGGGGCGGGGCGGGGAGGATGCAGTCGCAGTGCGAAGCACTACATGGAGGGCGCCGCCTCCGCCTCCCTCGTGCGCTCCCCGGTGCTGGGTGCGGGGTGCGGGGGAGAGGGAGAGCTGCGCACACCAAATGGCGAGGGACAATTTTTGTACGGGGGCTAGATGTGTCTTTGTGCACATCTAAACCAAATATGTACAAATTTGTATCTGCGTTACGTACAAAATACAGCATTTGTACCTATCCATAAGGTACAATTTGTACCTCTCCGTTCAGACAAATTTGTATTTGAAGATGTGCTCAAAGACACGTCTAACCCAGGTGCAAAAATCGTCCCTCCCTATCTAGAGTGTGCAGCAACGCGGCGTGCGGGGACCGTGGCGCGCGAACTCGACTCGTGGGAGCGCGCGTGGTGTGGCGTGGCGTGGCGTGGAGGGTGTGTAAACACGTGGTGGAGTAGACACTGCCCGGCCCAAACGGGCCCAAGTCACGTGACGCGACCGATCCGAAAGCGAAAGCTCGCGGCGTCCGCGGCGTCGAACCGAACGGGGCGGGACCGCGGGCGGGGCGCGGGACAGCGAGGTTCATTCAAATGGCAAGCGTTCCCACGCAGGCCAGGGCGCGCCATGACGCGCGGCTTCGAAAAATCGCGCGCGGCGACCGGCGAAGCGGCTGTAGCGGCTGTAGCAGGCTGGGCAGTGACAGCGGAGGGCGGCGCCAGGGCGGGGCCGCCACCCGCACAATGGATGTAATCTGCGACGGAAAGTCGAGGCGGACAATGATCTCGAAGGAGGGGGGGGGGCTGGGGTACGGTGTGGTACCCGAGCTGAGGTGGTGGTAGTAGTAACCCTGATCAGCGACCGCCGGCTTTTGGCCTTTGAGCCTCGCCCTGTACCCCGCACTTCTGGGAACAACACTCTCCTTGCGGTGAAAGCAATATACCAGGAGAATACAGTACACATCAAGTGTTGCGGGTTTTGCATACCCTCCAGGTCCGTATGTGTCCCCATGGCGCCTGACGGGCGGAAGAGGTAGGCAAATAACCTGCAACACTTTAAACTGAACACCAATAACTAAATAACAGAGTTGAATTTGACAGATATTTAGTTATTGGTGTTCAGTTACGCGCCGTCTAAGTTGTAAGTTAGGCCACGCTGTCACCGTTAAAGTTTTAACACTGCACTGAGAAAGGCGCTCATAGGAGTCACTTAAAAGGTATCGGTCTTTTTTAGATTCATTCGGGATTTGGGGGAGCTCGGCGCCTGCAGGACTCAGGGTAGGCCACCCCGCCGAACACGCGTGAACTGCAAGCAAGATGTTGCCTACCCACCAGGCGCTATAAGAGCTTTCACTCGCTAACTCCATTCGCTGAACTATGCAATTTCGTGGCGGCAAATGACGGACCTACTTTCTTAATGATCCTTCCACAAGGGTGAAGGTTTAAGCTAAAAAGTGATTGTTTATATATTTGTTGTACAAATTAAATTTGTATTTCACGTCTCCCCTCTTTTGCCAGTATGAAAATCCGTGTGGTGCTGTCGTCGGTTATCAGCTCCGTGCTCGTATACGTACCTCCCACGAGCCCCCTCCTGGCGCACTTTGAAATTCCCCCGCCCCCTCCGTGTGTGTGCGTGCGTGTGTGAGCGCGCGCGCTCGCGCGCTCCGCCCCCTGCATGCGCGCGCCATCATCGCACCAGTCAGCCTGGGGGTAATTAGCTAACGACACGATCGAACACACACACACACACACACACACGCGCGCGCGCCCGCCAGTAACAGGCCAGGTGTATGGATGTGCACGCTGTGGTGATGGGGGGGGGGGGCGTGGTGGTGGCGTGCGGCATGTCGCTACTGTTCTTTGCCTTGCGGGCTCATAGAGCAGCTCTATCTGGTCCGCATCCAGAGGGCAGGGCGGGGC